AAGAGTCATTCGACCATTTTTTATTCACGTGGCAGTTTAAAAAGGGGCAGGAGCTACAATGTCTTCTGTTACTGGCTTACAAAATTGACTTATCTCACGGTAAAGATAAAGCTTACGCTCTCCACTCAATCCATTTGGTTCAATAACCGGAGGAGTAGTGGTTGAAGGTGGAAGAACCACGAGATCTTTCAAAAACATGAAAGAACGTTCAAGACTGTTTGCAAATTCTTTATAATAAACCATTCCAGGGTTTTGCTCGGAAATCCTGAAATGATGGTAGCTCTTGATGTTTGGTAACTTTCTGAAATACTGGCCAAGGAAGGAAGCCCAGTCATAAACAGGTGCGATGATTCTGCCATCGTGCGTTCCAATGAGTTGTGCCTTGTTTAGGTTACTGGAGTTCTTGACCAATCTTGCAAATTCGTATAGTGATGAGATATAAGTTACTTTGTAAACTTTCTTGATTAACCCAAAGCACCGATCGGGGCCAAACTTATAATGTGTCCCGCTATTAGAAATGAGTATGTAATTGAGTGGTGAAGTTCCAACAAAATTCTGTAAGCCAGGTAGCAAAGGAAAAAATCATTTTTGGTTTGGCCGGCGCAGTTGTCGGCATGAAGATGAGCATGCTGTTCTCCAAGTCAGTAGTGTTCGAGATAATAATGCACATAGTTGATCATTGCGTTTGTTCCTTTTCCCTTGGAGACTGCTTCGTCAATTAAAAAGTTAACTTGGCGAGGAATCGCTACGCACATAACTCCAAAAATTCCACATTTTGGCAGAGTCTTCAAATATATCGGTCCCAGTTGTAGAGGATTGCTTGGTACGTGTATTTGCTGTGCAAAGTCAAAGGAGTAATGTATTGTTGCATTTAAAGAACAGGGTCTGCGGGTTTCACAGTTAAGCAAAGTGTCAGTTTCAAGTGTTTGAAGAATTTTTTTCGCAGTCGTTACACGAATTTCTGTAGAATTCTCTTTCAGTTTGCGCAGTGTTCAAGTGTTCCTGGTGAACCTTTACACACTCTGATTTTTTTCATCCGAGAGGTGGGCAGCTCGCTGTAGTTTTGTGGTGTTTTGTTGACAAGCTTTAAACAAAGATCCGTCATAGGTTTAGCGACTGCCACATCAGGATAAAACTCATCCCACAGCTGCAAGAATTTCCTGTAACTTACGGCTTTCTCATTTGAGGTCTTGCAAGTTCCTTCGTACTCTTTCCACATGCTCATTTTTGTCTCCGACGAAGATAAGAGTCTGATTTCTTCATTTTTAAATCCAGGAATCCTGCTAGCTAGGGAGCACAATGGCATTTTCTTCCACACAATTTTCAATAAGTGCATGGATTGCTTCGAGAGATTTTTCAGACATTGCATTTCCTGGCACACGTTTGGTGTTTCTGTGAATTGTTGGGAAAATTTCGTGCTCCTGATAATGTTCTTTTAATCTTCAAACCTGGAATAACCAATTCTGTACAAGTGTAAGAACATCTCCTTGCAAACGGGGCTCGTTTGGTAAATAAAACTACACTGAGGACTCCTGCTTCTTTTGTTGCCAACCTTTTCTCTCTTTGTGAATACTTGAATATTTGCCAGGATGATAAGGTCGAGTTCCGTGCTAGAAAGCTCAAGGCAGTTATTCAAATTGTAAAGAACCGTCTCCTCTGTAACTTGATCGGAACATGGGCGACCATTTAAACCAAGAGCACAACTGCAAGTTTCCTGCATGAATTTCTTCACCTTTTGTACAATCTGATCAGAGTTGTCAATTTCAAGCTCAGCCATTTTAGAATTGTCGTGTTGAATGATCTGTAACAACATTGATTGTCATAAGAACTGTTGCCATCATGGCAAAATGACAACAGTACTGCAGTCACACGCATGGCTGTGCATGTAACTAACAACAGCTGTGATCTTTTCCCTGCTAATAAGCACCAAATTTTTGTTTAGTAATTGTTTTCTTGACTAAAATAGACTCTTTGGCAAGAGCTTACCTAGTCAATACATAATATTGAAAAAAATTTGATATTGACTGCAATTTAATTTCTCCTTTTGAATGGATACATTGAGAATGGATGTTGAAACCGTTCGAACGGTTGTTGCAATTCTTTGAACGGACATTCTAGTTGGCGAACAGATGCAATAACTGTACAAACGGACGTCAGACCCATTTGAACGGATGCGAGAACCGTTCGAACGGATGTTGCAATTAACTTTGAATGGACGTCAGAACCGTTCGAATGGATACGCAAAACATTCGAACCGGTAACAAATGGATAACGAGTGGTTAACCTTTTGGAACGGATAACCATTAGTGTCCGTTTTGCCTTTCAGGGTCACATGTATTCAATGTATAATTGTAAGAAAAAGTTTAACGAACCTTTGAAGATGTAATAATGGTTACGCAGTAGAGTCTGAAGTCCGCCACATTCATTCTTGAGTTGAAGCAAAGTACTTCCTCCAAACAACATTGCTACTTCAGAAAGTTGCAGTTCACCTGACAGACATAATGCCACAGTTTACCACAGTGCGAGATATGCTTGACACTGTTAGCCCAAAGGAAGAATGACAAATGTAGTGCACTGACTTGCCGCAGCTACAATCTACAATCCCGGCCAAAAGTCCTTGGGACAAAATGACAACAGGTGACACATTATTGTGAAGTGGGAAGTCATTATTTAATTTGCCAAACCCCGCTCCCCCTCAAAACAATGTTGCAATAGTGGGTCTATTTTGGATGAATCAACATCAACATTGTGCTCGGGGTGGGGATGGGGAGGTGGACAGAAAGACCATATGCTGGCAAAAGTGCAAAGTGTCCCTAGACTTTTGACCAGGATTGTAGCTTTAAAAAAAGCATGTAGCTCTTTAGTATCAAAGTCAAACAATGTCATCAGTTTATATATAGGGTCCACATGCAGCAGATTACTTTCACGTCGCAACTGTACATTTGAGATTTACACCAGAACTCTAGGAAAATAAAAGTGAAGACAAGTAACAGTAATCCACAGTTGCTCTGTAAACTACACTGTTTTATCACTTTAAAACTGCATGTCTTCTTCCTGTTCTATTGTTACTCTTTCTTAGCTTCTGGCTTTCCTTTAACATGAGGAACAGAGGAAGAAACGTAGCGAGAGACTTCCGTCAGCAAGAATATGTAGAGAGACAACAGGCTGCTAGCACAGCTCCAACCCACAGTTCAGATGTCCCATCTGTCTACGAATTTGCCTCTTACTGCTCAGTCATCAACTGAGCACTACCAAGTAGACATCTAACTCAATATCAAGAGATTGCCAAGGACAATAACAACAATGACTTTAACAGGTGAAGTCAAAGAGCTGCTAAGATATAGTTACTTTCTGCTCGGCTTTAATAATGATGATCTTAGTGTTTGTTAGCCTGTGAGCAGGCTCCCATGTGTTGCGGCAGGAGCAAAGTGGAAAGTTGCGAGAGACGCTTCAGCCGACTCTCGCTTTGTTCATCGACAGCTTTGCTCATTTGTTCATACTACCAACGATATTAGAGCCTGCTTGCAGGCTAAGTCTTAAGTTTGTGCGTGAAGACCCCTGTGAGACATGTGAAGCAACAACCATCCTTGCGTTGAGCTCTATTTGTGCAGCATGTCCCTCGCCCTATGTGCACCAAACTATTAATTAGTCATTGATTACAGGTGAATCATGTATTAACATATGAGAGGAATTCAACTTAAAACTTTTCTACAGGTGAGGGGTTTTAACTGATACTGCCTGTATTACTAAGTGTACTAACAAACGTGGAGTCCAGATGTGCATTGTTAAAGTTAAGAAACAAGACAATCTTTACCTCCTTTTCGCCATTTGGAAGCACAAGCTGCAGAACTTGGAGTCCATTTGTCTACCTCTAAAGTAGTGTGTGAAATGTTTGCTGACTTGTCACTTTTAAGAGGCAAGTCCAATAATTTTCTTGCCACAGTATTGACAATAAGGTCTTTCAGTGATCTATCCAAGGCTGTACAGTTTCTCATTGATTCCTTAGATGGACGAGGCTGGAAAGTGGAGGATGATACTTGAGAAGGACAAGTATTTGAATAACACCCAGTCTTACAACTCAAATTGTCATCATTGACGCTTCTGTGTTGCTGAAGCTCATCTTCATGAATATCAATGCTGTTCCTCTCCTTGTGGTCACTAGATGTAAGATGATGTTGTTCAAGCAAACCACTTTCTTCCACAGATTGTTTGCCAATTCTGTTAAATGGCGTTTGCAAATTAGGATTGTCCCTTTCCTTTATTAACGTCTCAGGTACATTTCCGCCAGCAATATCACAACCTCTTCTTAGTATCATTCCCTTTATTAGTCTCTCCCTTGCTTCGGCATTCTCCTCAGGAAATGTCCTAAGCCTTCCCATCTGACAGATCTATGAATGACAGAATTTCCAGAATTGCATTAGCAATGCAACCTAGCACAAAATTAAGACCATAAGCGAGCCTGCTATGAAAAAACTAATCAGTGTATAAACAAGTGACAACCACACCCCTAAAAAAGTGTACATTTTGCAAAAAAGGGGTGGTGAACGGTAAATGCGAGAAGAAGTAGTGTTTTTCTTTGCGAGCCTGAGACATTTTGACTTTTTAAATTACGAGACCGAGACTCACAGTGTTTTAAATCCGAGTTTGAGACATTCAGATCTAAATCGTTGGATGACCGGACATTTTGTGCAGTTGTTTACACCTCAAAGGAAAATTTGATTCAGAGCTTAAGTTCTAAATTAAGTTGTACATTACTCATGTTTGAGAAAGAAAAAAAAAGAAAGCAAACGAAAGACACAACCAGACCACCTTTGACTTCAGTAAAATTGCAAGTAGTTGCAACCTGTCAGGACTGCAAACAAGCAGGTCTTCCAGCTTAACGTGTCTATCGGTGTGTTTGCTAATATAGTCAAATTTCCACTAATGGCTAACTCTTTTCAACTGCCACTGACACCTTTTTAAATCCCAGCAGGCAGTCTATACATTCACTCTTATTTTAGGATGTGTCAAAAACGAAGACCGAAGACCTAAGACCCTGTGGTCTAAAACGAAGACTCTGTGGTCTAAACTGAAGACCCACTGTTCTAAAACGAAGACCCACCGGTCTAAAACGAAGACCCACCGGTCTAAAACGAAGACCCACCGGTCTAAAACGAAGACCCACTGGTCTAAAACGAAGACC